AGTAGTAGTAGTAGTAGTAGTAGTAGTAGTAGTAGTAGTAGTAGTAGTAGTAGTAGTAGTAGTCGTGGTGGTGGTGGTAGTGGTAGTGGTAGTGGTACTGCTTCTGAAAAAGTGGACTGCCCCCGCAGAACGTCGGGACCTACCGGCCCATCCAAGTGGTCCACGGTAACCATCGGTCAGTCCATCGATTCTGGAAGGTTCACTGATGTCGATCTGGGTCCTTGATCTTGGAAAAAATCCAGAAATCAGTGAAGAATCATTGGATTTCCATCGATGTCACCGGCTCTTCAAGTCGCATCTTCGAAATCACCAACGGTCGCTCTTGGCTCAGCCACTCTTTGTGCTTCGCGCTTGACCGACTGTCCCCGTGGTCCGGTGCCGTTCGGCCAAGGCGCATAAAGCTTCGGGTCCGCACGAGGGTCGACCTCAGAGGATCTGCGCGGCAAAAGCCCGGTGCCCCGAGGCTGAGATCTGCCTGTTGACTTCAAAAGCCCTCTGGTTTGGTGCCGCTCATGTTGAAGGGTATAGTAATATCACATGGAAAGAGAGGAGAGAGAGAGAGAGATCAGGAGTCAGGAGTTCCGTGCGCGGACTTGTGTGAGAGTACTGACACTTGAGAGACTTGACTTGTGGGTTGTTTTCTCTCAACTGACCCACCTATAGAAACACATTGATTAGTAAAATTAATTTCTATGTATTTGTACCCAACGTCAGTTCTAAGAAGCTCAACTCAAAGTGTTGGACATCATCCACCGAAGGTTCTGAAGTGAAATGATATGCCAGGGCCATGTGGGTGGTGGAAACGATTTCGGTTTCACCATATGTTCCAGCCAGAACGGCCTCGATCTCATGAGCGAACGGTCTCGATCTCGCAAGCACTACTTGCTGTTTCAGGGGGGCCATGAGGACCTCGAACCTACCCAACCTACCCCAGAAGGGGGTGTGATGAGGACCTCAACTTGGTATCTCAAGGGGGGTTGATGAGCATCATCTCCGGGATATCGAGCTTGGATTTGCTTCCGGACCCGAACAAAAAGATATTCCCCATGCCGATTCACAAATTCAAAAAATCACCCTGTCTCCGCAAAGCCAGATGAATGGATCCCTTCAGTCACTTCACTCCTAAAAAGGACCTTCAGTCACTTCACTCCTCTTGGGGATCGAGGTCCGGACCTTCAACGAAATTCAGGGGTCCGGAACCCCGAAACCTGCCACCCGCCACTCCAGGAGCGATGGCCTCCACCCTAGTAGCCCATGGCCTCCACCCTAGTAGCCATGGCCTCCACCCTAGTAGCCATGGCCTCCACCCTAGTAGCCATGGCCTCCAACCTACAGTAGTAGGTCCGGAACTCTTCGTTAAACAAAAAGACGTTCCATCGGGAACCACTCCGGGTGGTTTTGGACTGTGCGGACCGTGTCTCTTCGGCGTGCCATCGGCGAACACACGCCATCGGCTGACACACCGGACTCCGGAGCGAAGGCTTTTTGACCGGTCATAATACGGGCTCTCATCCGCCAAGAAGCAGGAGTCTCATTGGAACTGGCACTCTTATCCTGGGAGGAGCCGGGGGTGAATTGAGCGGCGGTGTGGTGCCCGAGACCACCCAGGTGGCACCGTCCTTGGAATTTGGAGGACACGTTTGGCAGGTCAGGTTGTGGTCCGTGATCACTTTAAACGTTCCATCATGTTGCATCCTCAAATCCATTGCCTAGAGCAAGATTCACACTGGTTCTGTTTCTGGTGGCAAGTGTGATGTGCGCTGTAAAATCGGGTTGACGTTCTGGCAGTGGACTTCTCACAAGAAAGTCATGACTGACAACAAAAACCAGCCTGATGAACCGTTTAACCTCTGGTCTTGGTGCTCTTGAACACCCAGCAACTCCATTCAACTCCCACCCCAGACCAAGCTAAATGACCTGGCTCAAACATCCATCTCTAAGAACATCCGGCTCCAACATCCTGAGCAAGGAGTCGTTAGCAAGGCGAGCTGCATCTGAGCTGTTGCTCCAGTTGGCCGGGGGTGTGGTGGTTGTCGGCTGATCGTCCGTCGCTAGAAGCTCTGAACTCGCACCAACTGCCTGGGAGTCAGTCCGGTTGGCTGGAAACCAATTCCAGTGTGAGCTTACCGGGAGTTCGGGATTGAGTCCCCAAACCCTGTTCGCGAGTGGATAAAAGGGCACGGCCCTTGCGAACTGCCTTTTGCAGACGAAATTGGATCTATTTGGCCATGGTATAAGTTGTGCAGGACTGGTGTGTCTTTTGAGGCTCACGGACTTCACAGACTTTTGGAACTGCTGAGTCCTTCTGCAGTGCTATCTCTGCCGTTAATGGCCGCGTGGCCATGCTTTTTGGGTAATGTTCAGCAAACCCTCGAGATCAATATGTTATATACATGGCCACTTCAAGAGATGTTCCCGGTGTTTTTGCACATGACATGCATCAAATGACTGCGCAGCTTCAAATCCAACTGAGCAAACGAAGTCTCTTATCACCAAAGATACAGTCAGCCCCAAGGGCCCCAAGGGCCCCAAGGGCCCCAAGGGCCCCAAGGGTCAAAGAGCCCTGCCATCTTTAGAGGCAAAAACCAGTTGTGGGGAGTGTCCCCCAGGCAGTGGTATCCAGCATGACATCATGTTCTTAAGATATTGCTACCTTCCACAAATCAGTTCCCATCTCGAGACCTTCGCCGAGATGGGGAAGAAAAAGGGCCCACCCGAAATCAGAAACAGACCCGAAATTCCTCGGGTGTTTTTGTGAGTTTTCTTTGTTCCCACCCTTCCAAAGAAGAAGACCAACGACGTGGAAACCAAGAAACTCCATGGGCACTTGAGCATGGATCTGGCCCCAATGATTGGAGCTTGCACGTCGATTGGAGGAGCTGAAGTGTTGTTCATCACCCAACATCTCTTCCAGCGGAAACAGGATTCCGAGTGGCGGGATCGCCGTTCGGACCCCACAAAACCAGCTGGGTGCCACTGACCGAGCCTAAGATTGGTTTTCTGTGGCACCAAGCAATACAGTAACCCCAAATCCCGTAATGAACAGAATGTAGCAAAATATCATCACCAACGACATGTTTTTTTGCAGTGATGTCATAGTGAATTGCACAAACACACCAAATTTCCAAACAATTAATAAAAGGAACATGTACGTATATATGTGTTTTTAATAAATATATATATATATATTAAATTACTATATATGTCTTTTCACATTCATCAAAACCACCTGGATCTGGCTTTGTGTGGGTCCCTGTAGGTATCGACTTTCAACCAATACAAAGGTGCGGAATTACCATGTTTCACCGTTCTCCTGACATCCAAGCCCCTTCCGCAGCCAAGAAGCTGCCAGTTTCCTTCCACTCGGGAAGAAAAGATTATTCCTGGGCCATGAAAGAGGTGATCAAACGAATCAAACATAACCTCTTTTGGAGTCCATATCACATACCTACCTGCTGCATCTTTACATCTTCGATCAATGAAAACCTCCGCGTTTTGGGTGTTCCGGGACGCTTTTCTCTGGCGCCAGCCGCTGGAGGATGCAGCACCTGGGTAAGCCCATCTTAGACAGCGTGAGAAATGGGCTCTGACTGACGACCGGCATACTGGAAGCCGTCGGTTCATCGCCTCCTCTCCCTACGCCGTTTTACCCTGTAAGGTTGCAAAATCTGCACTGCTAGATCCCATAGCCCCTCAAAAGAAGTCCAAGAAAGTCCAGCCGGCGCCACAGACAGCACGTATGCAGGCGTGCTCACCGTATGCAGGCGTATCGTCGGCTTTTCCAAATCGAGAGGGACCGTGCTGGAATCAGAGTCTCAGTGCTTCTGTTGGTCTGAAGCGGGGTCGCGCGAGTGAGTCGAAGCAAGGCACAAGGGAGCGTCGGCAAGGTTCAGATTCAAGTGAATGGCTCGGGCCGAACAGAGGTCGGTGAAAAGCAACAAAAGAAGCTGGCATGAGAGGCGTGTTGCCTTGAACAACTCACTTTGCTCCCAGATGCCGCACAAGTCTTAGATCTCAACTGTTGCATTTTACATAGGCAACTGCATTGGTAGTAAGAAATTCTAAGCGAATCAAGAAAGCTGAATGAAGATTGTTGAATTGCCATCCAGGCTTAAGATGCTTCAGGTGTTCTATGGGTCACCTACACTGGAAAATGACTCCTTGCAGCTTGATGTCTGCAGCTTGACTGGATGCGTTGCGGTTCACCCACAAGGCGTTTTCACCCAGGCAAAAAGTGTGTTTTGAACTCTGCAATCTGCACGCTACGAGTACGGTGAAGATCGGATGGTGTTTTCATGTGTTTTCCGTCCCAGATTGACTGGAGAATTGGAAACTCTGCACTGAGTCTTAAAGTCTGAAAATAGAACTGGGAAGTGAAGCTTGCTCGGCTTGGGCCGCTAGGTGCCGCTAGGGAAACACGACCTGAAGAATAGCTGCGAAGGTGACTTGGTGATTCAGCACAGTGCTCTGGGTTCAAGATGAACCTATTTGTGGCATCTTGGGCACATCTTGGGTATATATATATATCTTTTGTGAAATCTCCACGTTGGAAGTTGTGGAGCCTGGCATACCTCTCTCTCAGGGGTCTTCTTTACATTTGGAGTCAAGGCCCCCTACAGCCGACGAAGCGGGCGACAAAGCTTCTCAGTCCAAGCCGAGCTGAAGCCGCAAAGCGTTGAGGTGGATGTGGAAGGCCACGCTCAGCACACCCGAGTGCAGACAGGTGGTAGCTTGCTGGTCTACAGTCGGAAACTGGAGGTCGGCCGGTCGCACCGACTTCGAACGAGCTGACGAAGTCGCTGTGCGACGTGAACCGGGAGATGTTGTGCTATGACATATGATCTCAAACTCACCAACCTGCAACTCCCTGCTCGCAGGGAGTAGATGCTGGGAGCGCCAGCTGCGCAAGCTCAGGGACGCCGTTTTCTCGTGAAGGGCTCAAGGACAAAGGACCAAACGGCCACTGTTCCACTGCATGGGCACACGCGACGAGAACGAGCCGGGAGACTCACACCACCCGGCGACCGGTGATCCGGTGGAACCCATGCCCTCTCCGGTGATCCGTTTCGGATGGATCCATGAAGGCCTCAAGAGAAAATGAGATCCTCCGCACTCCATCTCAGACTCGAGTTCACCAGCAATGACAACGGGGCGGTGGCTTCTGGCCATTCGTGGGCCAGAATGCCGAAAAGCCTCTTAAACAAAGACTACAAAAGTTGCAGACCGGGCTTGAAAGACTTGCTTTTGGGCATTTGGTGATGTTTTGTGACTTTCAATGAGTGAAAGCAACGCAGGTTGCATACATGGGGGCTCTTATTACTGAGGGAGCCGTCTCTCAGACAGACTTCCTTGGTGAGATTTCTCAATCACGCCATGAAATCATTGAGCGAGCAACAACAAAGCGGGCGGGTCCGGGTCGAGTTGAAAACTATGTGCTTGATAAAATAGCAGTCAGAACTTATGGTGCTTTCATTGGCCCGGCGGCCAGGAAGACTGAGTGTGACCGCCGGGTCAAGTTGACACGTGCACGCAACCACCT